TAACATGTGCAAACAACATGCTAACTTGTCCAAGTATCATGTTGACTTGTGAAAGCGACATGTTAACTTGTCAAAATTTCATGATGACATGTGCAAACAGCATGTTAACTTGTCAAGGTATCATGGTGACTTGTGCAAACTCCATTCTAACTTGTCAATGTATCATGATGACTTGTGCAAATGCCATGTTAACTTGTCAAATTATCATGATGACTTGTGCAGACAACATGTTAATTTGTCAAAGAATCGTGATGACTTGTGCAAAACACATGTTAACTTGTTAAGGTATTATGAGCATGTCATCACGATAACTCGACAAGTTAACATGCTGTTTGCACATGTCAGCATGAAATTTTGACAAGTTCACATGTTGTTTGCACAAGTCATCATGATATTTTGACAAGTTAACATGTCGTTTGCACAAGTCATCATGATACTTTGACAAGTTAACCTGTTGTCTGCACATGTCATAATAAGTTAACATGCTGTTTGAACAAGTCAGCATTGTCTTTAGACAAGATATGAAGTAAATTGCACATGGTAATATGCTTAAATGACAAAATAATATCATCATTTCACAAGATAGCAAAAACATTGATATCATAAGACAGTCACGGCGTTCCATATTTCTCAATATTGATTTTCTTGAAATATGTTGGTTCATCTAGAGACCTAGAGACGTGCAGCTTTATTGTATGTATAACAAGGTAATATCACCGTGGTCGTTTGTGATTATAACTTGATAATATGTTACTAAAAATGGCTATGACTGCACAAACAATTTTCCGATAAGGTCATTGAATTTAAACCTATATACCTAATTATTTTTTTATAGTTTATGAAAACAGGTAGTTACGAGGATATAACACCGGCTGGGGCGACATCGAGGGATGTTTCTGTTATGAAATATGCCAAGGTCGTTAGGCCGAGACGTTTTTTCCAAGAAACATCCTTCCATGTCGCCAAACAAGTGAAATACCCCCGTCACTAACGAATTTCATATTATAATTGTTTTATCGCAATTTCAATATTTTTTGTAACAGAAATCAGCACAATAAATAAATGCAAGAGGCCCATGATGGACCTTATATCGTTCACCTGATTATTTTGGCTCTGAATTTAATATTGTTAGCAATGAATGAAAGGCAGATATAATGCCATAACATTAAACTGATATAATAACATTCATATCTGCACCTGAAAGTGTGCAAATGCTAATATGGAATTTTCATATAATGCCCTTTCATATGCTGTTACCCTTTTTGACCTCAGATGACCCTTATTAAAACCAGAACTGTAAAATATCCAGACAACCTTTCTGACCAATGTAACCTCTAGAGTGACAACAAAGTTTTTTTTCATTTCTGGTCTGTGGGGAGATTATAGGAATGACCTCTGTCTGTTCGTCCGTAACACTTTTGTGTCCGCTCCTTTTAAACCACTGAAAATAACTTGTCACAAGGGATCATCATTATGAGTCGATGTGCAGAGCACAATAATTGGGTTGCTTATCCAAAGTCAAGGCCACACTTAAAGGTCAAGCGTTAAAGACTTAATCTAGTGCCCGCTCCATAACATTAAAACAGCTGCAATGTTTTTACGATAACTTGGCAGAAATTATCACCATTATGACATTATGTGCAGAGCACAATAGTCAAGTCATTACCCTCAAGGTCAGGGTCACAATCTAAGGTAAAACATCTATTTTTCATGTCCGCTTTTACTCCCCATCCCCTGTGAAATCAGATCGTTGTTCTTTAACGTTGCTATATCCGAGGCCAATGACACCAGTTATTCCCTCAATAATCTTTTATAATGTTTCTATCGCGACTTGTTTTGTAAATATTTAAATAGAATATATCAATACTGATTACAAAGAACTTTCAAGGCAGAGCTTTAAATTAAGTATAAGTTGCTGTTTGTTTTTCAGAATTAGTGAAATTAAATATGTCTAGAGCAGTGCAACACACAACAGATGCCATGGCATGTTTGATATTATGTTTGAATATCTACAAAGAGCAGGTATCATACGCTGATTTAAGAGAATAGATTGCATTAAATGACAAGTTGATGCAGATTAAGTAAACTTTATGTTCCACAGATTTTGAAATATGAATCAACCAAGTATAATGTATGTGTTAATGTGATTTGTTACTTACCATGTGACTGTATTATATTACACGTAAATAATATTATATCAATTTTGTAAATATGTTATGATGATCTACCTTTGGTACAAATCTAATGCTATATATGTTCTGTTTATCTTTCAAATGATCTGCATATGGTATGGTATTATAATTTCAATAATAAGTGATTTAGGAATTTATCTTTGAATTTTTTTTATCTAAACACCTTTCCCGCAAGAATTGTTTACCTTTGATATACCAAAGAAATCTATTACTTATTGTGTCGTATTTGCCTACTCTCATTCTTTGTAACACAAATCATTCAAATATAGGTCCATATTAAATCAATCAGCAGCTATTCAACTGAACATACACTCAAAAATCATTGATTTATAAATCTATGTTTTGAAATTTACCATTTTAAAGTTCAATTTGTACGCTAGCGGGTATTCAGAGGGAAGTTTATAAAATAAACCGTGCACCTGGTTACGCCCATAAGATTATTGCTACGTGCGGGGAATATTCTTTTCGCAAGTCTACAAGCCGTAATTATCAATGAAAAAAATCTATCTTGTACTCTTTCAGTCTCAAAATATCTATTGCATTATTACATTTGATGAGAAATTAAATGTCAAAATTCATATTATTGATATAACATTCTCATTAAATTGTGTACGTATGTCGAAATTTTCAGATCCTTTCGAAGTGTTCATGTTGCGCGAAAAAGTTTCCTCATAGTTTATAATTTATATATACTACTTTTTAATGATAAACCAAATTATCGTCGCTAAAAATATTTTGAATGAAACTTGTAATATTTTTAATTGGGAAATGATGTTTAAAAAACACACACACAAAAAAAGCAAAAAAAAAAAAAAAAAAAAAAAAAAAACAACAACAAACAAACAAACAAACAAAAAAAACAACAACAACAACGCAAAAACAAAACACACACCATTGACATTAACTAGTGAGTAATTAATTTTTTTGAACTTTTCTGATCTCGTAGGCGGATTATTTAAGCAGATAATATAATCTACAAACTGTAATATTGACATAATATCAATTTTAAAAATATTTCTAAAGTCACTTTCCTTTCCCAAAATTGTCACTCGAATTTCATTCATACCGACTACGCGACACAGGTTCGTTTTGTTTAGCGACGCTTAGCGTTGTCGAGCGTCGCCGCGAAATTGTATAATGTAACATAAAAAAACGATGCCATCTTTAAAATTTCGCTTACAAATTATAGAATCGTTTCGCATTGTCAAGTGTCGCATCAGGCAAGTTAACGCGTTTTTCTTTGGAAGGTGTAAGGGCAATGTCGGCTCATTGCAAATGATTATATTACAATTGTTTATGAAACAATGTGCTTGCTGATGAATAAGGTCGCTTTAGCTATTTCAATTCAATATACACAAATTAGCCAATTTCAATACACGCAAATTCGATAGCTTTCTTCTGATTTTTCATTTGACAGTATTACCTTGTGCATTTGCTAACGTTTATGTCAGGTAATCAAAGTAGATGCAAAGTGGTACTCTTGACATTACAGTATTTAATTCAGAACGTAATAGTTGTGTTTGTCGTTCCGCGTGAAGGAATATCCAATATAAAAATACGCTTATTGAAATAGTCTTTATTTCGAGATTAATAACAGCATACCTATGTCTGTTTCAGGATTGCACATACAGGTTTTTTTTTCAAAGGATTAAAAAAACTGTGACCATGATCAGTAAAATGAATAGACATTGTGTTGGAATAATTGTTATGTATATTTTGCTTCTGGAGCTTGGTAATACAAAGACGATCAATGATCAATGTAACGAGGAAAACGATACCACCGTGCTTTGTAATAACATACTTAAGATGATATACAAACAGTACGAACATGTACGTTTCGTAGACTTTAAAAGTAATTCACTTAATAATTCCAGTTTTATTCATGAAAGCTGGGCAAAAGTTGAGACCATCGATTTCAACGACGACCAAACATCATTAGGGCTCTCTCGTGAATGCTTTAAAGGATTGGTATCTTTAAAGGAATTGAAAAGTCATGTAAGATATATTTATCTTGATGAATACGCGTTTGTTGGATTGTCGTCTGTCCATACATTAGATGTCAGCAATTGTAATAACCTTTATGTACAAGATGTTCTAAAAACTCTAAAAGTTAAAAGTGCTTTACCTGCCTTAAAAAGTCTAATCATGTCTTTTATAGGAACGTTTAATGACACAAAAAATAGAATTATTAAAAAAGATGTGGATTATATAACACAAAGAAAAATAACAACACTTGATTTAAGCAACCTTCGAATGATCTCTATTGATGTAAGCGCGATATTAAAAATGTTCAATTCTCCTTCATTTAGTTTGAATTTATCATCCTCTTATATATTAGACATATTGGGATTTGGTACCGTACAAAACCATTTGTTTCAAATAAAAGTCGTTGACATAAGTCATGCTTTCTTGCCAACAAGCGTTATTCCTATTTTGCCTGAGCTATATAGAATGAAAAACTTGCTATTTAAATTTTCAGAGGTTTTAAATGATGAACAATATTTATATTTCAAAAATTTCTTCACTCCTTCAATTATAAACGCGAGCGAGATTTTCCATTCTAAAACGCCAGTATGGATTCATAACTGTACGCTTATAGTTGATAGGCCTTTAGATTGGAAAGTTAAAGAGTTCGTAGTTAGGAATAACAATTTCAAATACCTGGATATTGATTTCGTATGCCCAGACTCCAAACTATCTTCTCTCATTTATCTCGACTTCTCAGATAACGGGTTGGAAATGATACGTCCAATCAAATGTTTCCCTAATTTAGAAATATATGTGCTATCTAATAACAAACTATTTAAAATGCTAGAAAAGAAACAACACCTTTTTGAAAATTTGTTTGCGTATCATAGTAGACTTCGCATAATAAACTTATCAAATAATCAGCTTCAAAAGATTCCTAAAGAAAGTTTTAAATATAACAAAAGAATTGAAAAAATAGACCTTTCGTCCAATCAGCTTGAGCAATTAGATCTCGATTTGATGGACTTGTATCATCTACGAGTGTTAGATATTAGTAACAACAACATTAAAGTTCTAGACGAGATTTCTATCAACAGTCTTAATGGAGTTCCTTGTGTAGCTAATCACACTCATTGTTTAGTCAAAATGATGTCAAACCCATTCCTTTGTTCAACATGCGACTACAGATCTTCTATCCAATGCCTCGTTCGATTGAAATCGTTTAGTAGCGAGCAACAAGATTTAAAATGCATGTCTGAAGATAAAACTGTCATAAGTATTGATGAATCTGCTACAAGAGGAATTCAAAATATATGCAACAGAAAACTGATCATCATAACATCGACTGTAAGCATATCTGTTGTTTTTATGGCAGTTGGTGTAATATGTGTCATTCTACACAAAAGAAAGAGGAAATTAAAGCGGAAGAGGAACATGGACAATGTTATAAATAATTTAATAGCTGGCCAGGGACAGTATGAGTTTGTTGCCTTTCTTTTATATAGTAGTGGCGATTACCAATTTGTACAAGACCACGTGATAGACCAACTGAACGAAAATCTAAAATTGATCATTGGAACGGATCGAAATCTTATATGCACTGGAGACCAATATTTTCGACCTGGCTTTAATATTCATGATGAAACAGAACTATGTCTGGACAGAGCTTCTGTGGTCATTCTTCTTCTGTCGAATAACTTTTGTCGCAGCTCATATTGCCGAAACGAGTTTGATCAGGCATATATGCAGAGAAAACCTGTCGTTTTGATGCTGTTAGGAAATGTAGAAGAAGAGTTAATGATGCCTACGTTGAAAAACTTGTATAAGAGAGACGTCCGAATTTTATGGAAAATTGAAAACGAGCAAGTTGTTCTAAATACCACATGGGAAAACATATGTTCTTCTTTGCTGGAAAAGGTGCAAGTTTAGAAACAGATTGAATGAATATATTACAAAAACGGATATATTTATATTTCATGGTTTGCATAGCACATTAAGATTTAAGAGACAAACAAGAGGCTGAGGTGGTTTAATCTTAAAAATGTAATTCGCATATTAAGTGTTTTATATATTCTGCTGAACGTTTGGTAGAGAGAAATATTATGTCACTAATATGCATCTGGAGATGTGTATATAATTCAAGATATATTTTCAAAACGTTTTTGTACTTTAATGATGTTTGTCGTATATTATTTGAGCGTATGAATAGTATATTCATATATTACTAAACTGATTTGTAACTTTGTGATAATGTGATTTGTGATAATGCTTTACGTTTTGATGTTGTATTTGACAATGCATTAATTTATGCGGAATTTATTTTAGTTTGATTGTATACAATGAATTTGTATTATCATATCGATGAATGTGTCTTGATTGTAGTACAATGTTTACAATATTGTAATATGTGTTATCCGAATCATATGCTTTGTCCGAACATTAATTGTACAAGTAATGATCACCTTATGCATAATTTTAATTTATAATATTTCCATTATTAGTTATATTATGTTATTGTTCACCTATACAACACAGTTTAGAAAAATGTTTATTATTTTGTGTCTATTTAAATCCATAATTGTGTGTAGAATCATACAAAACGTTTTACACTTGAATTTAGTGGCCATATTGGCTTATTCTACTGCATTGGTAGAATATTGGTGTTATCTTGATATATTTGCTAATACTTAATTTTGTGTTACATGTTTAATTAAAAATTGATTGTTAATGTATATTTTTGCATTACATATAAAATACTACAATGGATGATTGTTATATTGTATTTGAAAGTAATTGCTTCTAAAGGAACTTATAGGGCACGTGTGCGTTAGAAAGTTGGCAAATGTTGGCCACTATAATTTCTATTTGTCAAGACTATTTTAATATATTGATGAATCCATGATTATTAGTCATTATTTTGGAACCTTTTGTTATGTTTAACATGTATTACATTGTATGTATGTCGAGTGAATGATGTTTATTTCTTTGAAAACATTGTAGAACCTTTTTACGCATTTTTATGTTTGCAAGTTCTGATTGGCTGACTCTATGTTTGCCAACATCTGTCAGCTACATATGGGCGGCTGTAACTGAAGATGGCACCAGTTGCAACCTTCCAAAATTACTTCCTTAGTAACCAAGCGCTGGGGAATATTTTCAAAGAAAAATCTTATTAATCCATATTATTCAGTAAGTTACCGACAAAACATATTGTCCCTATAGAAAACATCAATTTTTTAAGTGTTTAGTCCCACATATTTACAATAAAACCAAATAATTCCGCTTGTGAACATAAGCCGAGTTTTGTTACATAGCAATCTCGTAATCAAGCCTTTAACATCAAGACTATATGCAACTTGTGGTCCCCTTTGCTTTAACAACCGCGTGTCTTAGTTGATAAATTTTAAGTTCTCACATAATTTATTATTATATTTGATGATATAAAATTGAATTTGTTATCTTCATCAATGCAGAAGAGAAAACGTTAATGGCGTTTCTTATTACCCTTCACACAAGCTAAAAACCTTAAAAGTCAGCTTGTAAGATTAGTTGGTGGCCTACAAGCTTAAATCATTTATTCTAACTTCATGATTATTCATTAATTATTATATGATTTATTGTGTTAATATTACAGTAATAGAACTTTCGGATATACACAAGTTTATGAAGCCTGCTTGTCATTCAAAACCACATTCAGCTCGATATTTGTCTCTTTTTGAATTTTGATAGCAGGAATGTGAAGCTTGCATGACATTCAGCACAAGCAATATTCAGTCCGAGATTCGCTTTTTTGTCCTTTTCGAATGTCGAGACTGAATGTGAAGAAGGCTCGACATTCAGCACAACAACCAGCTCGACATTGGTTTTGTCTGTTTATGTCAAGCCGGATGTAAAGCTACCTCGGCATACAACACAATATTTAGCTCCAAAATAGTTTTATTTCTCTGTTTTAAATGTCAAGATGGGATGTGAAGCTGGATCAATATTCAGTACAACATTCAGCTCGACATTCTTTTTTTTTAAACTTTCCCTTTTGAATGCACAATGCAAAGGATCATATAACAATTGTTTATAAAACAAAATGCTTGCTGAATAAATTATTATCATAAATATCGCTTTTCTAAATTAGTTGATTCCAATTTCAAAACACGGTAATTCAATAGCTCTTTTGTAATTATTTATTGAACAGCCATATCTCGGACATTTGCCAAGTGAATGTAAAGTCGCATTCGTTTAATCAGATAGTAATAGTTAGAGTAAGTCGTTCCGCGTGAAGGAAATATTCAATTTTAATTTCATTTAAATACGTTTATAAAATAGTCTCTGAAAAATATGTAAATACTTATAATTTCCTTTCGAGGATTTCATATACAGATTTTAATTTAAAGTACATGGTTTGATATAATAAAAAAACCAAAAAACAAAAAAAAAACAAAAAAACAAAAAAAAAAAGAAAAAAAACAAACAAACAAAACTAAGACCATGATGAGTGAAATGAATAGACATTTTGTTGGAATATTTGTTATGTATATGTTGATTGTGGAGCTTGGAAATGCAAAGACGATCAATGATCAATGTAACGAAGAAAAAAATAACACCGTGATATGTAATAACATACCTAAAATGTTATCCAAAAAATACGAACATGTACGTTTTGTAGATTTTAAAAGAACAGATAGAAGTAATTCACTCAATATTTCAAGTTTCATTCATGAAAGCTGGGCAAAAGTTGAAACCATCGAGTTCAACGACCATACATCATTAGGACCTTCGTGTACCTTCTCTCGTGAATCCTTTAAAGGATTGGTATCGTTAAAGGAATTGAAAATTCATGTAAGATATATTCATCTTGATGAATACGCGTTTGTTGGATTATCGTCTGTCCATACATTGGATGTCAGCAATTGTAACAAACTTAATGTACAAAATGTTCTAAAAACTCTGAAAGTGAAAAGTGCTTTACCTGGCTTAAAGACTATTATCATGTCTGCAATAGGGTCGATTAGTGAAATAAAAAATAGAATTAATAAGAAAGATGTGGATTATATAACACCAAGAAAAATAACAACACTTGATTTAAGCCATCTTCAAATGAGCTCTGTTGATATTGGTGCGATATTAAAAACATTCCATTCTCCTTCATTCCTTTTGAATGCATCATCTTCTATAATTTTTGATATATTGGGATTTTGTACCGTACAAAACTATTTGTTTCAAATAAAAGTCCTTGACATAAGTCATGCTGTCTTGCCAACAAGCGTTATTCCACTTTTGCCAGGGACATATAAAATGAAAAACATGGTATCAAAATTTACAGAGGTTACAAATAATGAAAATTATTTAAATCTTAAAAACACATTTACACCTTCAGTTGTAAATGTGAGCGGAACTTTGCCTCCTGCAACGTCAGTATGGATTTATAACTGTACGCTTATAGTTGATGAAGAACTAGACTGGAAAGTTAAAAAACTCATTGTAAGGAATAACAATTTGAAATATCTAGATATTAATTTCGTATGTCCAGACTTCAAACTATCATCCCTTTTTTATCTAGACTTTTCAGATAACGGGTTGGAAATGATACGTCCAATCAAATGTTTCCCTAATTTAGAAATATATGTACTATCTAATAACAAACTATTTAAAATGCTAGAAAAGAACCAACACCTTTTTGAAAAGTTGCTTGCTTATCACAGTAGACTACGCATAATAAACTTATCAAACAATCAGCTTCCAAAGATTCCTAAAGAAAGTTTTAAATATAACAAAGGAATTGAAATAATTGACCTTTCATCCAATCAGCTTGAGCAATTAGATCTCGATTTGATGAACTTGTATCACCTACGAGTGTTAGATATTAGTTATAATAACATTAAAGTTCTAGACGAGATTTCTATCAACAGCCTTAATGGAGTTCCCTGTGTAGGCAATCACACATCTTTCGGCAATGGATGTTTAGTCAAAATAAATTCAAACCCATTTCTTTGTTCAACATGCGACTACAAATCTTCTATCCAATGGCTGGTTAGATTGAAATCGTTTAGTAGCGAGCAACAAGATTTAAAATGCACGTCTGAAGATAAAACTGTCATAAGTATTGATGAATCTGTTACAAGAGGAATTCAAAATATATGCAACAGAAAACTGATCATCATAACATCGACTGTAAGCATATCTGTTGTTTTTATGGCAGTTGGTGTAATATGTGTTATTCTACACAAAAGAAAGAGGAAATTAAAGCGGAAGAGGAACATGGACAATGTTATAAATAATTTAATAGCTGGCCAAGGACAGTATGAGTTTGTTGCCTTTCTTTTATATAGTAGTGGCGATTACCAATTTGTAGAAGACCACGTGATAAACCAACTGAACGAAAATCTTAAATTGAACATTGGAACGGATCGAAATCTGATATGCACTGGAGACCAATATTTTCGACCTGGCTTTAATATTCATGACGAAACAGAACTATGTTTGGACAGAGCTTCTGTGGTCATTCTTCTTCTGTCGAATAACTTTTGTCGCAGCTCATATTGTCGAAACGAGTTTGATCAGGCATATATGCAGAGGAAACCTGTCGTTTTGATGATGTTAGGAAATGTAGAGGAAGAGTTAATGATGCCTACGTTGAAAAACTTGTATAAGAGAGACGCCCGCATTTTATGGAAAATTGAAAACGAGCAAGTTGTTCTAAATACCACATGGGAAAATATATGTTCTTCATTGTTGGAAAAGGTGCAAGTTTAGCAACACTTTGAATGAACACCATTATATAAAACGCGTTGATTTCTAGTTCATGGTTTGCATAGCAGAACAAAAATTAAGAGTCCAACAAGAGAGTGATTCCATTAAATCTGAAAATAGGTATTTGATTTTCTGCTGAATGTTTGGTAGACAGAAATATTATGTCACTGTTATTCTTCTTAAGATGTGTACATGTATATAATTTAAGGTATACTTTCATTGCACTTTAATGATGTTTGTCGACACGAAATTAAAATATTGTATCAGTGCCATCAATATTCCAACAAACATTAAACATGCAAATTAATCTAATATAACCGAAAATCACTGAATATCTTTAATAAAATGTTACAAAATTTCCCTTCTCAAATTGATCTGTATATACATTTGTTCATCAACACATATACAAAACATATACAATACTGTAACTACAGAAAAGTATGATTATGGAAATGAAAACATGCATTAACGGACATCGGACATGTGCCGTTTTTACACATTTGTTACTGTAAAGTGACATCACAAAAGCAGTACAAAAACCGGTACCTTTATTTTCCTGATATATTTACACTCTATATAAACAAACACAGAATGACCTGACCACATGCAAACTTTTATGCAGAACTATCGCTGCATTAACATTTGCAGAAACCCTCGGAAATTTTATTCTCGTCCTGCGCGCTCAGGTTTCAAATGCAAGTTCATATTTCTGCGTATCATGATGCATATTATGATACAGAATTACATACTCAATACTTCATGCCATTTGTTTTTGTACTTTTGTTTAAAAAAAGGTTGGCATTTTTGTATCATAGAGTGTTAGAAAGTTACAAAGCCCTTCTTATTTAAAGGACTTTTAAGGTATGTAAAGAAAACAATTTGAGATCTAGTTATTTTAGTTCTGTTTTGCCTTAAAATGATTCTCAGTGTTTTCAACATTGCCACAAAAGTCTGGAATATTTTACCGTAAGCCTTAGGTCAATCGAAATATTCAACCATTTACAACGAAATAAAATGCAAATGACAAAAAGTGATTAACATGTTTATATATTACTTAACTGATTTGTAACTTGTGTGATAATGTTTTACATGTTGACGTTGTATTTGTCAATGCATTAGTTTATACGGAATTAATTTTAGCTTGATTGTATACAATGAATTTGTCATATCTATGAATTTCTTATAATATTAAAGTGCACACCACGAACTGATAGAGTTATTAATGTAAAAGTCAATCCCTTAAAATCTAAAGTTATGTTTTTTTAAGAATAGTTGGAAATTCGCAAGGCAAAAACATATTTTATAATCAAATTCTTGAAGTTGTCAGCAATTTTAGTACGTTGGAGTAATTTTAACCAAACAGTCACTCTGAAACAGAATGGCAAATGAACAAGAGTCAAAGGCAAAAATAGTGCTAATCTCTATACTTTTACTTTATAAATCAGAAATTTGGGGTATACACAAGTCAGTACTTTCGGAACAAGTGGAGAACAATGCATTTAAGAAATATTAAAGTGTGAAAGAAAAAAACAATGCAGGTATTCTATGTGTCTGTGGGCGAATCCCTTTGTTTTTAAATACTGCTAAATACTGTAAGATATTGGTGTAAAATATTCAAATCGGACGAGCACAGACTGGTTTAAAATGTTTCCTAATGCAGTTGTTTTAAATGAAATTTATTGTGAAAAAAACTTCCTATTTCTTTGGATAAATTCCTTTGACTAATATTTACAAGAACGACAAACTGTTATAAATATTGAATTTCTTAATTGTATGCATATAAACAGATAAAATGTAATATGAACATGAATATTAATTATCAGTAGTGAAAATTTGAAAAAAAATATGTTCTTACAAAATATCGGTGGTCCTCTTATCATTAAGGAATTAAAAAGGTAAATTCCGGAATCTTTAGGAGAAGTAAATTGATATGTAAATTACGTCGCAAATTTTGAAATTGACAATATAAATACATGTATATATTATAGAATATGCTTATTACATTATTGATATTACATGTACATTTAAGGACTGTAAAATTTAAATTTGCTTAGTGAATTTCATTGAATTTTGAAACTGTACAGTTTTAAATAAGATTCTACATTAAAGGAACTCCACAGAGGTCCAATAGCCTAAAATAATAAATTTTGAATTTCTTTCTGAAATCAATAGGTACATTAAAATTTGAAACCAAGCAAGAGATGATACCTACATATACACGGCATTAAATTGATAATCGATTTTATGCGATTTTTGACCGATTTGAGTGAAAGGCGTTTAAACGGTTTTCATTTATTGGGCCAATTTGCACAATAAAATTGATTATTTCTGGAAAACGCAGTGGACGAATGATTTGAAATTTTGTACATGAGTTATTGGTCTAAACATACATCTACTTATACAAAAATCTTTGAAAAATATTTTCAGTCACTTTTCTTCAAAAAACCTCAGTGGTGTTCCTTTAATGTTGCAACTTGAATATTTACCACTGCGGGTAAAGGTATACGGTGAAAGTGTCCAAATTTCAATGTTCTACGTTACATGACACAATCGCCTTTATTATTAGACAATAGTTTTTATTTGCTTTAATGCACAAAATAGCGATAAGTAATTATCTTACATTTTGTTCTTTCTTTAAGATCGAAATTCAACTGGGTAAAAAAACAATTTTACCATAATTTGTGTGTTTGTAATACAATCATTGTTATGTATATGTGCACCATTGTACATGGTAATATTTGAATTAAATTGAATTGACATTACGTAAATGTTTTGAAGTGAATTGTACAGAAGTGTGCAGTTTTGTATTTGTCGATTCATGTCTTTAAATAAAAATGTTTTATATATCAAATTTAAAAGAATTTAAAAGGGATTATTTGCTCAGTAAAACTACAAGATATAGAATTATATCAGTTTACATTTCAAACTATATGTATTATCAAAGATATTCTATTATTATTGTGATATTATTTCAGGGGTTCTGTCTATGGTTTAATATACGCTACACCAAGTTAAGACATAGTAATTATTGTGAAAGAACATGCTGTCTTTTATAACGATTATCTCAAATTTCATCTTTGTTTACATGTCTGTAGCTGAATGACTTTGTATTGGCTCTAAACATATGTTTGTTTTTTATGCTGAATAAAATTTTGTATTATATTGTATATTGATTAGTATCTGTACTGGCACAAATCAAAAAAATACATCATAATATACGTATGCCATGACTTAACGAGTGGTATACATCCAAACTTGAAATTCTAATTTTGAAAATTCACAAATTCAAAAGAAAAAAGCATAAACGGTATTTAAGACATAAAACAGGGAAACGAATAAACTGCTTTGATTTTGATATTTGTATTATTTTGAGTCACTGAAAATTATAATTGATTAATTATATCATTCATATGATGACCAATATAATTATATCGACTTAAATTTTAGCTTGAAATATAATTAGGGCATTGACGAAAATTGATTAACGACCCCGTGCGTAACGAATACCGGGATTTGTTGAATGAATTATCTTCTCTTTATATTGGCTAAGTATTACGTTAGTAACGGAGTAGATTATGCAAAGTAGAAACAGAAGAAGAATTCTTTCTTGAATTAAGATGTCATAAATAATCGATTAACACATTAAACCTTACTAGATCAGCATTTATCGTTCACTTCAAACTTTATGCATTTTTTTTTTCAATTTTTACTTTTACTTTAGTTTATGTTATGTTGTTTATTTAAAAAAAAACTAATAAAACATTAAATTGCAATTTCTATACAAAGTCTAAAACCTTGCGGCATGTATCACAGCAAGGCATCACGGTTGAATACAACAACAACAACAAAAAGAGAAAGAAATGGGACAAACCTTGAATTAATCAGATGATAATGATGATCAACCTGACTGCTGTTTTTCTGGCTTGAGTCATACTGACGGCCTGGGCTCTTTGTTGGATAGACAAATTCAAATATGCATGTAGTTTATTATACTAAACCTCAAAGAATGATGTATATAACAAAGTCATCGTTAACTTAATTCTCGAAATACACGGAGTGCACTCTATTTGTTTTTAATAAACGAATTAACATGTACATGTGTAGGAACGACATTTGCCGATCAATTGATTGAATAGCAGATGAATTCAAGTAAAAGATTAAAAAGATATTTAAAGAATAATAATTTTATTTGTAAGTCGTTAAGAAGACAGAGGGCATCGGCAGATGATTTGAAGACTGGGGATGGCAAAAATGATCAGAACTTGTGCGGCGGACCAGCTGCCGATGTCCTGACTAAAAGCCGAGGATAGTGGCCCACAAAGTAGGCTTCGGGTCGACGAGGATGGTATGCTAGGGTGCGTGAGCCCCTAGCACGGTTAGAGGGCTTGAACTGGCACTTATTTTAACTTGCCTTTTACTGGCACCAATAGCCCATGTAAGGGCTACCCTTTCATATTGTCTCAGGTTACTGTACATTTAAGTTCTCATTGACCGCCGTACAGTGATCTACTTTTGGCTCAAAATTCATATCTTTGGCTAATACTCCGTGAAAATTGCATGGAGGTAAATTATCACCTCTTTGTGCTTCAAAATTAACTATGTAAGGGCATGGCTGGTGACAGGCTTGACCTGTTTCAGAAATGATTAAGTCATTGTCGATGAATTCTAAGTAAGTAAGAATCAAAATGTTATTTGTACGTGCATTTGAATGTATGACTGTTTACAAAACAGACGAGCATTAACACCACATGCTGTGCTCTTGTATGGATATGTTTCCAAAATATTCATTGGCACTGGTATGTTGATGTTAGGAGCGGCCTTTGTCTTTTCAGTGTTCAAACCTAGCTTTGAGCATACCCCGGTACTATGAATTACTGAAGAATGAATTCATGTTGAAGTTTATTTTGTAACCTTGCCAAAACGTGTCTGTCTTTCATGTTTTTGTTGTCTTGTATTGTTGTTTCCTTTTGTAAATAAACATCCTTTATTCCTCATCTATTTATTATATCCTCAAGTTTCGTAGCTGACCCCATTAGTATGTGTATTATTCATAATTATAAATAAAAGTGATTACATTATATGTTTTGTTTAAGGCATAATGTAGCTTTAAGAGTTATTGAAACTACCAAAACAAATTGTGCCCCGTAAAAATAATGGAATTTTTCAGAAAACAGTCACTATTCTTATACATATACATGTAGTTATATTGTTCTTCTTAACATATTTAATTTTTCAAATAAATGTTTCGTTGTTTCACATAATGTTAATACTATGTTAACTTATCATGCTTGAATAAGATTGCTAACATTATTGTAGACAGTTGAGGCATGGACCTCGGACCCTTAATTAATCATGCGACGGAGGCAATAAACGGGGTTACCTTCGTTGCATGAAAAAATCTTTGGCCATCTTTGTAACAAAATTATTGACTGCTAGCTCCTTCGGAAAACAAACAAGTATTTTATGTAAACTAGCAAATTATATCTACCATTTGGCCCAGTTTCCTGTCTAACCAGGGAGGCCTATTCTATTCCATTTAAAAATTATATCACATAAAATGTTTTGTAGCAAAATGCTTTATTTTAAGAATTTTGAGCAGCACGTGACATATCGTTTGAAGATAAATTGAAATTACATAGCAATTTATCTTAAAATAGCATAGAAATTTGTAAAAACATAGTAAGGTTATACACCGTCATGAATATACAATTACAGTTTATTTAAAAAGAAAACAACAAATAAAATGAAATAGGATCATTTTGTCGGCAACTATAAATTTCAACCTTTCGCCTTTAACTGCAACTGCATAAATTTTCAGTACATGTAATTACAAGCTTTTCAGTATTCCTAGTATTTCTTTCGTTTTTACTTTGCACGTCTGGGACATCTTGACTTTTCAGATTTAAGGTAATATCGGTTCGAGCTGACTGTAAATTTAATTCCTTACTCTGTCAGACCTTAAAATTCTAAAAGATTAATAAATTATATACATGTAATTATATTGAGTTGATTTGGAAATGAAATGTGTAAACCGTACCATCCCAAAACTACTCATGCCAGAACAAGACCTGGCCTCATCTTCACCGTCAAGTTAACATAGACGTGCATCACGACCAGACAAGGCCCAGTACCAGATGAAGAAGGCCTTTAAACACCACAGTCATTCAAATGTTACTGATCATCTGACAATGGAACCAGGCTATTACACACCACATCCATTCAAAAGGCAATAATCCTAAAAAGTATATACCTGTGTGTGTGCGTGTCAGTATCATCGAAGAAATATTTCCGCTACTATTTCTAATTTAATGAAAAAATACAATTTCTTAATTTACTGCAAGTAGCTTCCTCAAACCAAAGGGGAAATTCGAATCCACAGCTATAAGAGGAAAGTGGTGGTTTTTAGTCAAAGGATTAAAGATGTACTACCCGTCACCAGTTAGGAGCTATATAATTTTCATCGGTTGAGCGAAAGTGAATTAGAAGAAAATTATTTTCCATTTGTGATCTTTTGTTTTGATTTTGCTTTTTGTTTTGTTGTTTTTTGCTTATCTTTCCAGCATGACTCAAGCTAGCTGTTAAATGAGTTCAACTAATGACTTACATGCCTTCTGTCTTTGTGTAGTCTGATAACCCATAGTCTTTCATATTTAAGTTATATATAAAAAATGTATGTTTTTTTTTTAGTATTTTTATTTATTTATTTATTTAAATAATTCATTAAATTTTTAATTGTTTACTCGGTATATTATTGAACTTTAAGTAAATTTTTAGATACTAGACATTGCTAGTGATGTAGATTTGGGTAAACTATCATTTTTAGTTTTTTAGCATATGATTCGTTTTTATAAATATATCCTAAAAGGTCTATTTTATGCATGTGATGTATATATATCATGTCTAATCATTTTTTATTGTAGCTGTTTTATCTTTGTTGATCTTATACTTTATGTTATTTACAGTCGGTTATAAAAGCTCCTAGAGCTTATGTTGTACTGTTGAAAACTTGCCGACTTGAAATAAAACTTATCTTATCTTATCATATCTTGTCGAATATAGTATCCTATTTTATGGTTTGTGCACAAAGTTTTCGTGCTAAAGTAATGTATATTATTGGGCATTCAACTTTGGGCGATCGATCAGGCAATATCAGCTTAAAAAATAAAAATTGGCAAGAAATGTGTTCAGCATCAATGTTTCATTTGCAACCATCTAGATGTGATATAATTTTATATGATGATTTTATTATCTGAATTTAAGATCTTTCGTCTATAATTTTTTAAAAAAGAAAAATTTTTTTTTGAAAATTTATTATAGTAATTTTATTTGTTACATGTAAGATTAAAATTTAATTATTAAACTACCCTGATCTCCAAGAGCCTCCCTATATATAAACTTATTCATAGTATTCTTTGGTTTTTTGTTTATTGTAAATATAAAGTAGGGTTAAGAGAATTAATGGTAAAAAAGTATTGCACGAGTTGAGTTAAAAAGGTTTTTGAATAAAGTAAGTAGATTGCTAACATATTTTTTTTCGGGGGCCCCCATTTTGACTTAAATAGTGTTTAATTTTAAAGTTGAAGACATTTTTATAATTAAACAATTTCAGGGAATCCAGAATTTTAAATCAAATGTTACAGATTTTTTAAAGAAATAAGTACAAATTTTCTACCCAGACCCCTTTGAATCAAAGTAGAAATTTGGTACGTAAAGCCCCCAGGGAATTAGTTTTTTTAATCCTCGCACAAAAAAGGGAAGTAACCGGGGTCTGTCAAAAAGGAGAAAATGTTAAAACAAAACGGGGAATATGAACAAATTCGACATCAAATTTAGACTTTAAGAATTTTTTTTCAAAAGCAGATTTCATTAAAAAATTAAGGGATAAACTGGGGCAAAACTTCAGACTGTAGATTTCTCATTTCGTATGCTTAAAATAGAAAAATGCAATGCAAACAGAGGAATTTGTTTTTCGCAAGCACATTGTCAAACTCGCACAAACGTAAGAACTGACCATTTTGTTAGGAATCGTCTTGTGACAACATAAGATGCATATAAATTTTCAACTGTATATGCACGTGGAATAAGATTGTTTAAGAATTTTTTGTGCAATCCCAAACAGATTCCAGCTGGAGTTGGAGAAAAAACAGCTCTGAAGAGACTATTAAATACACTGATCGATATAGAATGTACGTTTTAATTACAATCTATCTCCCGTTCAAGTCAAAACTTGTGGTAAAGGTTGTACAGGTCTGAACCGAAACATACTACCCCACAATATTGGAATTCGCTCTTGGGGTTACAGAGCAATGTTAAGGTGGCGCTATAGCTCAGTTGTTTAGACCACTGTCACTCCTGATGTAAATACACCGATAAACAGTTTCCTAATTAGCATACGACAGACTATTCTTATCAGTTGAGTTTCGAGTAAAGTTAACTGGTTGCGTAATCGTATGTAAAATGGTCTGTCAGGCGGTAGGTTTAACAGTTAATTTAAGTACCTTTGGTGTCAAAAGATATGTTGAATTATATACTGATACAAAGCTAAGATCCTGATCATTTCATTTGTGTAAGAATTTTGAAAATCGGATAATAATTCGCAATAAACCGACAGTTTAAACATGGCGTTATTTGTATTGTTTTACCAATAGAAAGATCGATTTTACTCGAAGTTAAGGGACGTAACTCGTATTTTTTGCACTCGATAAACCTTGGTTATTTACGTAGGTCATATAGAAAGTGTTTATGGGTGTATTGTAAAAGAACCAATAAGGGTCAATTCAATAAGAACCAAGGACTGATTCCATTGTATCTCATAGCTGTCTCTAGAGTGTGCTGAGGTAAGGACCCTCCTGGAAGTAAATGCTTGCATTTTATCCTTGACCGCCCGGTATAATGAAATTCAATTCATTGTGTATTAAACTCAGAGCCATATGCAGACACAGTCCCATGTTGTGCGCCAACTGTCACAGGGTGAGAAAAATTATGCTGCCTGTTCGGGACTAGAACCAGGGACATCCGGAATAGTATTATACTGTTTTTGGACTCACTGACTGTGCTATCTCATAATCTGGCTGCTTGCATATCTTCCTTAAATAATGAACAGTTCTGAACAGTGAAAGTCAATACACAGATTGACAGTTTCCAAACTAGCAGACAACAGGCTTTTCTCATCTGTTGAATTGCGAGTAAAGATAACCAATTGCGTATCTCACTGTATAAAACGTATGTAAAATGGTCTGACTTATGGAAGGTTTAACCGTAAATTTAAATATCTTGAGGGAAAAGAGAATGTGTCTCTGCCTATACCAAATACATACCAAGTAGCAGTTTGACCTAAAATTGTGTTGGTGGTGTGTTCGACCCAACAAAATAAATAAAACACTTTAATAAAATATATACATTACTAGTTACCATTTTAATTGTCCTTTTTACAGTAGTCAAATAAAAAAGTCCTGCATTCACTGATAATTAACATTATTATAATTTTGCAAACCTTCTCATGATTACCTAATCTATTTTCACTTACTTGAAAACTGTACTCAGCATGACGATAACTATACAGCCTTTAAGGATTTCCTCTTTTCAAGTAAAATGTACGAAAATGTAACCTTCAAGTAATTTCTTTCCGGCAAGGGAATTAATTGTGTTAAAATATATGGTTCTTATTTACCTATAAGCTATAAGGGTGGTAAGACACATAGCAAAGACAAAGAAGGGAAAAAATAAAAATTGCAAACGCATGGCATTTAAGAACATATTTATTGTATAAACATCAAAATATTTAAATATATGATCATGGCTATTTCTAAAAAGAAAATTTGTTCTATAACTACAGTTCACAGCATGATGTTATTCTCATTTATAAAGTGTTAAAACATTTTTAAATTAATTTTAATCAACACAAATACAAGTACATTTTTATCAGACCCCGACCAAATGTATATCACTGATGAACTATATTTGAATCATTTTATCCTGTCAGTGTCCAGTCCTTTGCTCATTATCTTCTTAAAGATATACTATGTTCAAATTTGATTTTTAAATTTATTAATAATTGCTACACTATCTCTTTGTATGTAATAAAATAATCAGGTTTCGACCTCATTTAAAGTAGATCATTATGTTTTGAACCGTACACACTATAGGTGGTCACAATATGAATATATAGTGTCATTAAAAAAACTGGCAGTTTTTCTTTAAGAAAACACTAACTTTACTTGACCCGTAATAAGAAATGCAGCTTCCCATACATAACTTATTCATTATTTTATTCAAATTAAACATATTCAGTAAGAATTTCATGGATTTCAGTACATTTCTAAGATAAAAATATTTTACCCAAAGATGAGCATAGTATTTATTTAACAAGATCAGAGGGAAATGCTTGTCTAGTGCAAAACCTATTAGAAATACTGTTAGTTTTTTTTTCCAAAGCAGGTGTTTTCAGTTTATATGTTCAAAGAGTTACATATTCACATATAGGCAGAATAAATATTGTGTTATAAAATTTATTTGAACTTCTTAATTGAAGAATTTAGGTTTAATTTTAAGTAGATTATTATTTAATAAACCATCTAAAACTATTATTTTTCAGCAATCAAAAGCTGTTTGAAGCAAGCTCATTCCAAAACAGACTGTGACTGGACACTGGTACTTACACAACATCTGTTGAGGAATCTTGCTGTGAACCAGTCTTTCCTTGTCGACGATCATTACGGAGCAGGAAGTGATAGTTGCTCATGTTGTAAACAAACAATTTGTGGAAAGTTTGGAGACACAAGCATAGGTATCTTTGATCTGTTCTTTTCAAAACAGCTTAATAATATCTGTCGTATGTTACGTTTCGGATTAGGATATCGGTCCTGAGGGTACCCTGCCCATTGAGTGGAACGAAGATTGCTGAGTTGCCTCCTATGGCCAGGCACCTGAGGGATGGATATTCTGATCAGAACCGCAAACACATGTCAGATATTTTGCCATATTTAAATGATTTACCTTTGACAATAACATATTTTCTAACAATAGCCTATGAATTTGCAATTTTTTTCATAACAGCGAAATGACATTAAGCTAAGCACATAGTTTCATTCTTAAATGTGCCAAAATGACATCATTTTATAGCACATGACTTACCTGGCACCCCCAATGCCAGATAAAATTTCCAGCATGGGTATAACTCATTGAAACACCAGTCTGATATGCAAGAAAATAAACCAGGACTGTGGGAAAAAGCTGTGGATTTTCTTCAAGCTGCACTCCTCCAGATGGGTTAAAAAATCCTTAAAAAATATGAATATAAGAAAACTACCACTTTAATTGATTAGATTATCCAAGTGTTACCAAATGTGTTACTATTCACAATCCATGTGAAATTTTGCATGATTCTTGTATAATTCAACAGAATTTACTAATTGTATTATCATCATAGTTACTACAATAGTCCTAATTGTATAACAGTAAGAAATATTTTATGATATTTTGACTAATATAATTTTCAAGAAAAGCAAGTGCCTTTATATATTATATATATAGGAAAAATCCCTTTATTTATTTAATTTGATATAATTATATAAATGTTTACTTAAGAATGCTTTTTGTTAACACAGTATTGTTTCAGAGTATTCCCTGCTTTACATAATATTCAGTAAGGGAAGTAACTCTTCCACAGAAGCTAACAATTTACTAAAACTTCTTAAGACCTTAAAATTTGGACTACATACTGTAAAAAAGTTTGTGAGTGATTATATTGCACTTACATGTTTTTTCGAGAATTGAAGATTTTCAGAAAAATGAATGTTAGCTGAGTATCATTTACATGTATGTTTAATGTATTCGAAAATAGAAATAAGCGAATACATTTGTATTTAATTGGGCGAATTAGTCCTAAAAATTAAATGTCCTCGGCCCTTACGAAGAAAAAAGGGGGATATAGAAATAGGGTCTGTCTGTCCGTCCGTCTGTCACACTTTCGTGTCCGGTCCATAACTTTATTATCATCAAAGAAATTTGAAATAACTTGGCACAAATGTTGGTTATAATAAGACGATGCCATGCGCAACAACCAGACCCTTACCTCCAGGGTCAAGGTCGCACTTGTTCATTCAAGGTCACTATTGTCTATTTCAGGGATTATGCCATGTTCGGTCCTTAATTTTCTTATCTTGGAAGGGATTTTGTATACACTTGCCACAATTGTTCACAATAATGAGATGATGTGTCATGCACAAAAACCGGTCACTAACCTCCAAGGTCAAGGTCACACTTGGAGGTCAAATATTAACGTAGTCTGTTATAGGCCAGTCCATAACTTTTTCATAGATCAAGGGATTTTAAAAATACTTTGCACAAATAATCACAATAATAAGATGATATGTTGCACAAATAATCACAATAATAAGATGATAATATGTCAGACCTGTGCAAAACATGGGTCCATACCTCCGAGACTGGCCCCCCTGATAAAAGAGTATCTTGAGCCCATTCCTCGTCTGAAGCTGTGAAAATAAGACTGGAAAGCAGAATAAGAAAAAGTAGCAGAAGAGGACTTTTTTCAGGATAGACCTTTAACTTCACCATACAAACCTTAATCAATACTCTTAAATGACCCTGAGATTCAAGGTCAAATTATTGATATTGTCTTTTTTGCTGTAATTGGCTATAACATTGTTATTCATATATGGATTGACTTCATATGAAGGCACAGTATTCTTTAGGGCAGACTCAAATTGTCATTGGTTTATTGATGACTTTGACAGAAAGGTTTAAAGGGGCTACACTGAGGTCTGACAGGTAGTTTGGTGTCCAAAAAAAATGTAAACAAATTTCCTCACAAATCACAATATTATAACTAAAATAACAATAACTTACACTTTAACCAACCCTCTAACAACAATTATGCTAGAAAATGCATTTTCACATTAGCTTTTGATGCAAAATGAAAATTGGTTTTCCCAGACATGTACAGAAGTTACCCACAATTCATCGGGTATGACTAAAATATGCAACGGACATTTTTGAAACAACGAAGTAAACGGGGGTATAAAAGTCTATTAATTTTTTCTCAACACTCTAACCTATCATGTTTATATAACTTGTGTATAACGAAGAAAAACTGTATAAAAGATAATCAAGGTAGCATTTTCGTTGTCTTGAAAAATCAAATGCCAGCGAAGCGAACATTTTCTAGACAAAACAGAAATATATTATATACATGTACAATTATTTTCATTGACATTTCAGTTTCAATTTCAATATTGATTTTCACATATTTTTGCTATAATTGACTGTAACTTTGTTATTATAAATGGATTATCTTCAGACTTGGACAAACCAACCTTTTGGACAAGACCTTCTTAAAGGTTGAATTGGCCTTGACTTGGAGCTTTAAATAACATTGACTGTCTTAGTCAAGTTTTTGCATTTTGTCCCATTCATACCTGTATTACTTAACAAAATTAAATGTTATGATTTTTTTGTGGTAAACTCCTACAGTTTTTATTAACTTTACACAGATATGGCGTCCTTAAAGTAGTTGCATTCAATGTGCTTGACCTCGACCTTTGCAGTATAGTAATGATAATAATAATAATAATGATGATAATAATGATATTAATAATGATAATTATGAAGTAATAATAATGATAATAATAATGATAGTAATGATACTACTACTTATACTATTACTACTACTAATAAACTACTGCTTATAATAATAATGATAATAATAATAATAATAAACTGATAAGGAGTAAAATTCATTTTTTTCAGGTTGCAAAAGTATATGGCATGGTTACATTGACCTGATATTAGGATCAGAAGTTCCTGTTGTGACTGTCAATGAAGAATCAATGACAGGAAACCAGTTAGCAGATGAGGTTAGATCTGTGAGCAAATTTCCATCCAAGCGTAGAGAGCAAATAATTGCACAGACCATCGTGTTCTCTTTTCTGCAGAAAAAGGAAGAAAACAGTTATGAGAATTACCTAATTCCATGCGTAGGAGTGGTTAAAAATTATGTTTCTTTTTTCATGTACGACTGTGAGAATGACATCTTGCTTGAAAGTGCGCAGATTAAACTGATGAGTGTTCAAGGTGGTGACATTTTGGAGACAGGTGTGTTGGCACTAAAAAAACTAAACACAACATATGATTGACACAGGATTTAAAGCAGAGTTTCCTAAACATGCTGGAAAAGAGTTTGAAACTTACAAAAAGAATGTACAGTTTGGTTGTGGCTTAGGGGAAGATAAAAAGGATAATTATGTATGTACCTGATGAAATTGATTACATAAACTTGCATTAACCTTTGATCCAAGTTTTCAGCTGTAATCACTTTGATGCTGTAGCCACCGGGATAAAACAGTTTGCAAAAAGTTGCTAATGACTTATGCAGTTAGTCCTAAAATCAACTTGTGACTTTAAGAGATGTCTGATATTATTATGCCCCCACAAAGTGGGAGCATATAGCGTTGCACTTGTCCGTCCGTACGTCCGTCCGTACGTACGTCCTGAAATCTTGTGAACGCAACTCCTCTTAAACCGGATGGCAGATTTTGCTTAAACTTCCAGGGATGAACAACCTTAATGTGTAGATGGTAGTAAAGGAGGGAATTTTTGCTGCGACCAAATTTAACAGAATTATGGCCCTTTGTTGATTTTTCACTAATTATACCATACAGAAATTTTGTGAACGCAACTCCTCTTAAACCGGATGGCAGATTTTGCTTAAACTTCTAGGGATGAACAACCTTAATGTGTAGATGGCAGTAAAGGAAGGAATTTTCGCTGCTACCAAATTTAACAGAATTATGGCCCTTTGTTGATTTTTTCACTATATACATTTACTATGTAGAAATTTTATGAACGCAACTCCTCTTAAACCAGATGGCAGATTTTGCTGAAACTTCCAGGGATGAACAACCTTAATGTGTAGATGGTAGTAAAGGAAGGAATTTTTGCTGCGACCAAATTTAACAGAATAATGGCCCTTTGTTGATTTGTTCACTATATACCATATATATGTTGTCAGTGGGGGACACAGTTCTTGTTTTGAAATTTAGATTTGCTCTGAAAAAATTGTTCAGGTTGGTAATATAGCACTACTGATTGTTATACAAGAAAAAAAAATGAATATGAAAGTGCTTTGAATCTCTCCAAAGTATACATTCAGAAGTTGAAGAAAAAGTCACTTTACATTCTCACAAAAAAGTGGACAACAAGACTAACTTATGCATGTACTTATAACATAAAGATTATTTCCTTTTTACTATAAAAATGTTGATGCATATAGAAATAATAATGAACAAATCCAAGAATACTTCTGTCTGAACTTTTTTTGTACCATTTTATTCCCCAGATTCAAATACATCAGGAATGCCTATTGTTTTTATGCCCCCGAAGGGAGGCATATTTAAATGGCACCATCTGTCTGTCCCTCCGTCTGGCATAAATGTCTACCACATCAAGATAATATGTCGCATCCAAGAAACATATCCCTACGTCAATGGTCAATGTCATTTTGAAGTTTCACATTATTGCAATTGGAGTAAATAGGTACACACATTTGTGTCCGGACTGTAACTTGATCATGCATTGGATGATTTTAGAATAACTAGGCATAAATGTGTACCACATCAAGACGATGTATCGCGATCAAGAATTACGTCCCAACCTCAGAGGTTAAGGTCATACTAAATTTTGAAGTTTCACATTATCACAATTAGAATTAATAGGTACACACAATCGTGTTCGGGCTGTAACTTTGTCATGCATCGAAAAAGTTTAGAATTACTTGGCACAAATGTCTATCACATAGAAACGATGTGTCGCGTTCAATAATCATGTCCCTACCTCAAAGGTCAAGGTCACACTAACATTTTGAAGTTTCAGTTTATAGGTACACACATTTGTGTCCCGATTGTAACTTTGTCATGCATAGAAGGATTTTAGAATAACTTGGCATAAATGTCAACCACATCAAGACGATGTGTCGTATTCAATGATCAGGTTCCTACCTCAAAGGTCAAGGTCACACTACCATTCTGAAGTTCACTTTATCACAATTAGAGTTTATAGGTACACACATTCATGTCTGGACTGTAACTTTGTCATGCATGGAAGGATTATAAAATAACTTGGCACAAATGTCTACCACATCAAGACAATGTGTCGCGGCTAAGGCTCATGTCCGTCTGTTCGTCCGTGTGTCCCCACTTACACAGCAATCATGTCCAGACTGTAACTTTGTCATGCATTGAGGGATTTTGAAATAACTTGGCACAGATGTCTATCTCACAGCAACATTCTGTCGCGTCCAGGAACCACGTCCCTTCAAAGGTCAAGGTCACACTTATATTTTGAAGGTTCATGCTATCACAATTAGAGATTACAGGTTCAATACTAAAAAGAACAATATTAGGCAATTAGTTACTTTCATTCTCTTTTCATGCTTAAGAAACCTTTTCAGGGGCATTTGTCACTTGGGTGACAGCTCTTGTTGGTCAGACCCGTTTATTTTTGTCATAAAACTTAAACCTTGACTACAACACCTACAGCCTCTTAGCTTAACAGGGATGGTGCATGTACCTAAATGACCTTTACCTGCCAGGCCCAAGAGTTTATATGCTCAAACGTGAAGATAGGTCACCATTTCCCTAGTATTGGCCTTTGTCATTAAATAGAAATATTAACATAGATGAGCTCTAACCATTCCTGACTCCTAAACACTTAGTGCACCCTTAGTGCAAACGTACCCATTTAGCAAATATTTATCCCAGCCAATAAAATTAAAATGCTTTCAACCAAAGCCTTCTAACTTCACATTTGTATACATATCGATGTGCCCTATGTTCCATACTCACCAAGATGTTAAAGGTGAAAGGTAACAAACCAACAGACATTGAGTTTAACTGAATATACATGTAGAGCACAGTTCAAGATTAACATGTAGCAAAGATTATAGCCTTGGCAATAAAATGGATGTGCTTTCATTCAAAAGCTTTCTTACTTTACATGTTTATTTATCTTTATGAGCTCTAACAACTAGTACCAATTATATGTGACAGAGCAAAGATCATATTCACCACCCACAGCTTAAACATTTCTATAAAGCATTTTCTAATGGAATTCTACCAAGATTGTATTTAATAAAAACTTAAAAAAATCTTCTCTGATTTGACAAAGGATAGGTGTAAGATATTTGGCATGAAACAATGTGTAGTGAACATTTACCAAGATTGTTCAAATTAAAGCAATTTAGTCAAAATTGGCCCACCTTGTGGGTCATTGATTTTCATTATGTACATTAAGTAAAAGAAAAATGTTTTCTGAATAGAAGAAAGCTAAAGCTTAGATTTTCAACATGAAACATTGTATGATGGACCTGTATCAAGTTTGTTTGAATTAAACCCTAGGGTCAGTATTTTGCCCTGCCAAAGTGACAGGTGACCTTCTTTCTTGTCCTTTGATGTACAGCAGGTATGAAATTTTTACCATGTGCACTGATTAAGATATAAATTGAACTTTATTATCAGTTGACCTAGATTTTGACGAAGTGACCTACTTTCTTAACTATGGTATTTTGGCCATGTGAGCAGTTTAAGATGTAAAGTTGAAATTATGAAGTGACCTCCTTTAGCTTTTTAGCCCACCTGAGCACAAATGTGAGCTTTTGTGATCACTATTTGTCTGGCATCCATCGTTAGTGCGTCCGTCATCAACTTTTTATACAAACAACTTCTTCTCAGAAACCACTGGGCCAAATGTGATGAAGTAGCTCTACTAAATTGTTCAAATGGTTTTGCTCAATTGAGCATCTTGGTCAGGAGGGCTTAAAATAGATTTTTGAAATGAAATCTGTAAAAATCATCTTCTCTGAAAGGCCTAGAGCTTAGATATTTTGTATGTGGCATCATATAATGAAACTCTACAAATATTGTACAAATTTATAATAGCCCTGGGGGTCAAAATTGGCCTGATTTTCCTTATATGTATATAGTATAAACTTAAAAAATATTCTTGTGAACATCCAAAAGAGGTAGAGCTTAGATATTTGGCATAAAATATCTTCTAGTATATGTCTATCAAGTTTGTTCAAATAAATCCCATAGGGTCAAAATTGACCCCAGGGGGTGGGGAGGGGTGGTTGTTGATTTTCCTTATATGTATATGGCAAAAACTTAAAAAAAAATCTTGTGAAAATCTGAAAGCACTATAGATTAGATATTTGGCACGAAACATCTTGTAGCGGATATCTACTAAGTTTGTTCAAATTAGTGCCCTAGGACAAAATTGGCCCGCCCCAGGAGTCATTGATTTTCCTTAAATGTATATAGTAAAAACTTAAAAGAAATCTTCATAAGATAATCCAAAAGAGCTAGAGCTTAAATATTTGGCATGAAACATCTTGTAGCGGATGTCTACCAAGTTTGTTCAAATTAAAATTGATCCACCCCAGGGGGTCATTGATTTTCCTTATAAAAACATGTATATAGTAAAATCTTAAAAATCTTCTTGTAAACATCAAAATGAGCTAGAGCCTAGATATTTTGCATTAAACATTTTCTAGTGGATGTCTACCAAGTTTGTTCAAATGAAAGCCCTAGGTTCAAAATTGGCTCGGCCCTAGGGGTCATTGATTTTCCTTATATGTATATAGTAAAAACTTAAAAAAATCTTCTTGTGAAAATCTAAAAGAGGTAGAGCTTAGATATTTGGCATGAAGCATGTTCAAACATGTTCATCTAAACAACATTTAAACAAATTGTTTAATTTTGAAATAATTTTACACAAAAATTTGTTTTTGAAGGGTTAAAATAAGAAACCTAATCGTTTTCAAAATAATGAAAGCTCGCCAAAGATTGGTTGTTTGAAATACCACGAGCAGGTGACTACCTATGGGTGGATGTTAGATCTTAAAGTGTAGCGTTATTTACGAGCTGATTTTAATCAGATTGTGTTATAAAGTTACAACATGGCAAATGATATTTGTAACTACTTTTTACTTAAGTTATGTATTTTCTTTCCCTAGAAATAGATTAAATAGATGTTTTACTTTGAATAAAGTTAGCTGAAAAAAGATGTTCAATTTAGATTATTACATTAAATACACATTATGCCTTAGAATCGAATGAATTGTACTTCTTTAGAAAGGGCAAACACTGGCTTATAACATTTGAATGATAAGTTTAGAGCACGTTAGATGCTTGTTAAGCTGCGGTCTTACTTACTTTCGGCAGAGCCCAGTACCACCCAGGTAAGTTACTGGGACGATCCGGGGTGAAATAATTGTTGCGGTCACACTTAACCTGGCAGCACCACAGTATTTTCCAGCTAACAACCAAGATGTGCCCGGGACAATCCAGGCAGAGCCCAGGAGAAGCTGCGGTTCCCCGGTCATTCCCGGATGATGCCGACAGAGCTCCGGTTAACACAGACATCGCCCGGTCGATCCAGGGAGGGCCCAGACAGAGCCTTGGACGATCTCGGCAGAGCCCCGGTAGATTGTAAACGCGGGTATATTGCTTTGCACTTGTCGGTCCGTCCGGTCCGTCAGTCCGTAGACCAAATGGTTTCCGAGTGATAACTAAAGAACCCTTAGGCCTAGGAACTTCAAACTTGGTACGGTGATTGGTCATGACCAGTAGATGACCCCTATTGATTTTGGGGTCAAGAGGTCAAAGGTCAAGGTCACATTGACCTTGTATGTTAAAACGGTTTCCGATCAATAACTAAAGAATGCTTAGGCCTAGGATCTTCAAACTTCAAGGGGTCAAATGTCAAGGTCACATTGACCTTGTAGGTAAAAACGGTTTCCGATCAATAACTAAAGAACCCTCAGGCCTAGGAACTTTAAACTTGGTATGATGATTGGTCATGACCAGTAGATGACCCCTATTGATTTAGGGGTCAAGGGGTCAAAGGTCAAGGTCACATTGACCTTGTATGTTAAAATGGTTTCCGATCAATAACTAAAGAATGCTTAGGCCTAGGATCTTCAAACTTGATATGGTGATTGGTCATGATCAGCAGATGACCCCTATTGATTTTGGGGTCAAGGGGTCAAAGGTCAAGGTCACATTGACCTTGTAAGTAAAAATGGTTTCCGATCAATAACTAAAGAACCCTTAGGCCTAGAGACTTCAAACTTGGTAAGATGATTGGTCATGACCAGCAGATGACCCCTATTGATATTGGGGTCAAGGGGTCAAAGGTCAAGGTCACATTGACCTTGTACGTAAAAACGGTTTCTGGTCAATAACTAAAGAACGCTTAGGCCTAGGAATTTCAAACTTGGTATGATGATTGGTCATGACCAGCATATGACCCCTATTGATTTTGGGGTCAAAGGATAAGGTCACATTGACCTTTAGGTAAAAACGGTTTCCGATCAATAACTAAAAAAAGGCTTAGGCCTAGGTACTTCAAACTTGGTATGATGATTGGTCATGACCAGCAGATGACCCCTATTGATTTTGGGGTCAAGGGGTCAAAGGTCAAGGTCACATTGACTTGTAGGTAAAAACGGTTTCCGATCAATAACTAAAGAACCCTTAGGCCTAGGAACTTCAAACTTGGTATGATGATTGGTCATGACCAGTAGATGACCCCTATTGATTTTGGGGTCAAAGGGTCAATGTCATAGTGACATTGTACTTAATGACCGTTTCTGACCAATAACTCAACAACTCAAGTTGCCTTGGTTGATATTTTTATGTGCTTTTGGTATACACATTTGAAGGTCTTATGTAATATAACAACTTGGCTGTCATTAATGAGGCCTATGTGATTTCATAAAATTTATGTATATATTATTTTGTAAGATTTTTAATAACTTTAATTGCTGCACACAACCTATGGGGTCACAATAATTATTACCTTGTGACTAGTCATGACCAGTAGATACTAGATAACCCTTATTAATTGCTTGTTCACTGGGTCAGAAGTCATGCATAATAACCTGATCACATGACAAATTGGCTGCCGATAGGGGGCATACATGTTTTACAAACATATCTTGTTTTCATTTGACATAATTTTCAATGATGTTTTCTCCTATTTAATAAGTATTCCTGAATAATCCTTGTGCAAGACTGGACAGAAGGGTTTAAATTCAAACAAATGCAATCATTGCAAATTCATTAACTGCCGTGATTCTTTTGAAATGAACCGGGCTTTGCCGGGGCTCTAACGGGGCCAACTGTAGCTCCATCGTCATCCCCCGGGGCTCTGCCGGCAATAACCACGGCTCTACCGTAGCTCTTCCGGATATATCATACCCCTGATCATCACTAGTTTGTGCCGGCAGAGCTATGGTGTGGTGTAAACCCGGTTGTTTCCGGCAGAGCTAAAGATCAAGCTGGCATAGCTATACCTTCCCGGACCACCCCGGAAATATGAAATATTTTATTTTATCCGGGGTCGATTGTCGGATGTTCCATGATCATCCCGGACGTTGCCGGCAGAGTTGCAGATGTACCCCGGTTGTTTACGGTCGTACCCCGGTCGTTCCCGGATCACCCTGGACGTCAGATGTAAGTGAGACCGCAGCTTACCTGAAGAAAGTAGTGCTGAATATGAAGTTATTCGTCATTAGGTTTTCCATGAAGACAGCAGTTATCTATGACAACAGGGAAAGTGTTTTTATTTATGCATATGGCACTAAAGAGAAAGAACGTCAAAACACTCGAAAATCTAATGGGTGGCGGGAGGGCCTATGCCCTCTGGTACAAATCGACAGTCTCGTTTATCGATGCTCTTGCTATTAATTATCATCATCAACGGCATGCACTAAGTGTATAGGTCTGTGTTATTGCGATAGCAAGCTATTCCCAAGTATCGACTTGAAACTTAGCTGTCGTTTCTTCAGCTGAGGCGCGTCCGTGATCGAGTGGTTAAGGTTGTTGACTTCAAACCGCTTGTCCCTCACCGCTGTGGGTTCGAATCCCGACAGGGACCATGGATTCTTTCATGCGAGGAAGCTATCCAGCAAGCTCACGAAACTTTGTTGGTTCTCCTGAAATCCCCGATCGTGCCTGAAATAATCCAGAGTGCACCTGAGGTTTCCCCCCAGTAAGTGGAAAAGTCGCTGTATTGCCTTTTACCCCGTGTTTGTGACGTAAACCCCAGTAAAAAAAAACCCAAGTATCTTTTTATTAATTTTAAAAAAAAATTAACGAAATAACAACTTTTTTGATTTCTTTCACATTACACTGTGTTTCTGTTAATTTTTTTTAATTTTTATTTATAGTTAAAATATTTTAAAATCTCAGTAAAAAAAATATCTTTTGCCGCATTAAACCAAATAAATAACATTTACATTAACTTTTGCTAGATTTGTTGAACAGGGATAATTTCATTGCCTTAAACGTGTTTATGATGATTTTATATCAAATGTATTCGATACAAAGTATATATTTTCAATTGATTTAAAGTTATATAAAACACTATAATAGACAATTTATTCTTTCAACAAAAATGAAACTGAAATGTATTTAAATTACGACTTTTAAGTGGCATTTTAATTGTTTAAGTAGAAATTTATAAAGCAACATATTTAAAGCTAGAAATCTGTTACGAAAAAGGTGCATTAACCATCTATTATGCTCTTTATCTGCTTTTTAACTCGACTATTCGAAGAATATGGATAGCTATTGCAGTCGCCCCGGCGTCCGTGTCCGCGTCCGTGTCGGCGTCTGCGTTGGTTAAAGCTTTTTGTAAAGTCAAATATCTCAAGTCTAATATCTCAATTATTGCTTGAGATATTCAATTTAAACTTACAATACTTATTTATAATAACAATGTACATCAGATTGACAAGTTGGATATTTCTGCCCTCAATATTTACAGAATTATGCCCCTTTTTAACTTAGAAATTTTGGTAAAGTTTTTTTGTAAAGTCAAATATATCAATAATTGCTTGAGATATTCAATTGAAATTTACAACACTTTTTTATTGTACTAATGTGCATGAGTTTGCAAAGTTGCATAACTCTGCCTGCATCATTTGCATAATTATGCTCCCTTTTGTACTAAAAAATCTCCTTTTCTTGGTTAAGTTTAACATGCAAGTTTTGCATATATCTGAAACTATTAAAGATACAAACTTGAAACTTCATATGTATATTTGTGGTCATAAATAATGATCACTGAACAACACTCATATCTGTGTCATGTATTTAGGCTGATTTATCCCCCCTTTTTTACTTAGTCTCTTGGTTAATGTTTACATGTAACTTATACATATCTCAATAATTATCAGAGATTTTGATTTGAAACTTCACATATGCATGAAGGGTCATATTTGTATGTCACTGACCATGTTCCATAACTCTATCTTGCATTTAGGCTGATTTGTCTCCCCTTTTCTACTTAGTCTCTTGGTTAATGTTTACATGCAAGTTTTGCATATCTCAATAACTATCGAAGATATTTATTTAAAACTTCACATATGCATTTAGGGTCATAATTTTAGGTCACTGACCAAGATCCATAATTCTATCTTGCATTTAGGCTGATTTATCTCCCCTTTTCAACTTAGAAATTCATGGTAAAGTTTTGCTTGTAATTTAAGCTATTATCTCCATAACTACTGAAAGGTTTGTGCCTTTTTTGGGACAATTTTATGCATTCATAATAATAATAAAGCAGTGATTTACTTAATAAAACATGTTAATAACAAGCCTTTGTACCTTTTTGGTCAATTTTATGTATTCATAGGTAAGCATTTTTATACTCAATAAAACACCCGCGTGACAACTTTTTCGAATAGTCAAGCCTTACTGTCCTCCGACAGTTCTTGTTATTACTAAACACCCTCACTTCCCAAAAAATGAATACTGTTTTATTTTGAGCAGACAACACACGCCAACTCGCGATCCTGAACATATGGAGGACATGGTAATGAGCCACATTGTGCCTTCACAAGGTAAAGAATGTGTTGATCGTTATTGGCTGCACCGTTTGGTAAAAATTCTGGCAGACTGTCCATGCAGATATGATTATGTGATCCAAAGCTGTTGTCCATTCCTGCCATCAAATATCCAGTGTATTCCATAAGCCACCCCGAATAACAAGCTGTTTTTGCTGGAACCATTAGAACAGTCGGATTTTTTGATACGCAGACTGCACAAGGCATGTCTTGTTGGTTGACAGGATATGCAAATATGCCACTAGGTTCATTTATATCAATCTCTGTACCGTAGATAAGCGATGATAGTTTACTCTTTCCGGTATAGTTTGCCCACGAGGGATGACTTGGTAGACATATAGTGTCACTTCCGCTTCCTTTCTTGTGAACGTGTTTCCCAGCTGTGTAACCTATAATAACAAGTCGAAACATACATACAGAACATTATTGTTTATTCAATTTTCAATTCATTACAAGCAAATGATAAATAAATTCAATGCATTCTAAGATTGTGATATTGGTTATTAAAGACTTACTAAAATATATAAAAGTGACAACTAAATATTTTGTTTATTTATTGTGATATTATACCATTGTAAACAAGACTCGAGCTGTCCGGACAAATATTTCGACCCCATCTGACAAACACCGCTCCATTACCTGAAATAAAGATATTTATACATTCAAAAATACAATCAAAATATAATCAGAAACAAGAAAGTATGGTGACTGATTTGTGCTATGTCGTATTTTTGCTTTAAGCACGACATTGCGACAGTAATCACTATTCGTATTTTCGTGTTTAGCGAAGCAAAAGAACGACTTACACAAATCAGCCACTATTAGAAAGAGAGAAACAAACAATAAAATGAATTAATGGAATAATAAAAATGAAATGAGCCAAACGACATGCACATCAATCAACATCTGAACCTTTTTTGTCCTTTTTCTTTCCGTTTTTCACTGTCTTATTAGTTACAGGACTTTGTGTCAGGTAGATGTTTTTAAATTAAAAAGTTCACTGTTACATGATTACTTAATGATTTAATCAATTGTACTTATTAGCTCACCAGAACCGAAAGTTCAGGGTGAGTTATTAGTAACAAAGGGGGATGCTCCGTCGTCTGTCGTCATGCGTTAACAATTATCTTCTTCTCTTAAACTGCTAGGCAGATTTACCTCAAATTTGGTATTAAAGCATTTTTGTT